GTATAAAACCATGACTTTGTTTATCTCTTCGAAGAAGTAACTGAATGTATTTGAGAAACCTTTCAATTTAAATTAACGTTGAAGGATGAGCGAAGGTTAGCAATATTAACTGTACTTCCAACGGGATTTGATAAAAGTTTACATGTAATATACCGATACTTTGTCTTCGTCAGCTATAATAATAAACCTTTTCCAAAGAAGTACAAGGGAAAACTTCGACGTATGCCTTGCTGATCTTTACAGAGAGAGTAAAATAAGTCTAGTTCAGGCTGACAATTTATCTAACCGCGTTTGCATCACTTGCGGTTTCAAACGTTGAACAACTTAAGGTTAGCCCAGCGAGACGTTCGTTGAGACCCAGGCAGTGAATCAGCTAGTATAAAGCAGTTGATTGTCAAATGCCTCCGAACATTTCTCCCAAATACTTCCCTGTCAACCCAAGGCTTTCTGCCTAAACAATCTGGTCTAGTGGTCTTGAATAAGTCAAGACAATGGGCAAATTTTTTAAAACAGACGCCGTCGAGGAAAGTCGTTCTTAGAACACCTGGCCAATTTGAATTTACACCTGGAAATTTTGCAATAGTCGTTTGCGTGTTTTTTGACCGAAGTCCGCTCTCTCTTTGAGACTTTATTTTTGGGAGTCTCAACTAGTGACATATATTATTACAACAAGAGCTTTTTACAAAAAAAATGTAGTTATTAAACACGGCAGAATCTATGCCACGGCCACGGGTTTTCAAATTGTCTATTGTCTATTGAGTTAATTGTATTATTGAGCAAATGACAGACTTCACGCAATAATGATTCATTTAGCCTGCTATTGTTCGAACACTTTTAATAAATAGTGTTTGTTACTTTGTTCAAAACCTAAATACGTTTCCTTAAATCTTACAGTTATATTTTGGATATAAATATATCAAATACATTAACTAATAGAGAGTAAAATTTTACGTCTCTGTAGTATAGTTACATAATTTAAACGGCAATGTACGAACAAGACAGCAATATACAAACGGGACTATGTTTTAAATATTAGAACACTTTAGGGAAAAAACGACCATGAATTATTTTAGATTAAAGTTTAGACCTTGAATCCTAGTGAAAGATACAGGCGTAAAATTGCGCGAGAAACTGTTTGTTGTTGTTAATAACCTCTGGTAATCTAATTAACAAAACTTGCTTTGATTGGCTACTATTTACCGGATATTCAATTATCTCAAAGGGGGCGTATTGAAAAAATATCAATAAAAGTCGCAGGCTCTATATAATAGAGCCTGTGAGCAGGCTACCTTCATCGGGGTAATGTGTAATGTCTTTCGCAGACGTTCTTTGTTTTGTCAACATAAGAAATGCTTAGTTGCCATGAGAACTACAAAAAGCAAACGCCATGCAGTGGAAGAATGTGAAAACGTCTTTTGTCGTTTTGGAAAGTTGAATAAAACCTGAAGGTTATCTCGTACAGTTCCATGCCGGGAAGATGTAAAGATTGTAAACTCTGAAGGTATCTTATTATTGGCACAGACTACACTGACACAGACGGTTCAAGATTCTTTCCTGCCAGTATTATAAGGCACCTTGCTTGCCAGTTTCCGAGGTATCGCATGCCAGATATCGCGAGTTATGCGATGTGAATTGTCACACTCTAGACACCTCGCGACCACCTTGAATTTTGACTGCTGCGAATGCAGAGGGCGTTTGTTGCCTGGCTTGTACGTCTTGGCTCTTTCTTTTGGTTTGTTTAGTATTTCTTTGAGACAGATCTTTAATCTTTATACACCAGACTCGCAGGTTAGATTCCCGCCAGAGGACCTAGTGTTGCATTTTTCACAACTGTTCCTGGTCACGTATAAAAGTATATATATATCGTCACTTGGTTGATGCATATATACCAACAATATTCAGTTTCAACCAAGTGAAGTGCGGGAACAAATCTTTCAAGTATTTACCTCGTCCTGACGTCATTCAGTATGCCGCTGTTTGATTATACTCACTCCAGTAGTTATTTATTAGGCTTTGCCAAATCAACTTGAAATCTCTTGCTATATATACACACATTAAAATAAACGATACATACATTGACATGGCTGGGTATACGCTACAGCTTTCGCCAATTACAGCGACCCTTTACACAATACAAGACAAACAAACTTTAAAATATTGGGGGTTATGTTCCCTCAATTAGGCTACATCTGATTTTCAAGTCACATCATTACAGGTTGTTAAACCAGCATCTTTCGATTTAGCCCTCGGACTTGCACCCAGATTTTTCTAAAACGCCGGCCACGAGCTACGAACTCTCTGACCTTTCTAGTACAAGGATTAAAATAATCCAGGATTGTTTTGAACCTGCCTCCGCGTGGTTCTTGAATGTCTGAAGTAGTATTGCTGAGTTAAATTCAACCTGGTTTTTGTTTGCTAAGCCTTACACAGACTCTATAAAATTATAAGGAAGTTTATTCCAACTTAACTCTGGTTATTGTTTGGTTCGATATATCCATATGGTATATAGTCCTACATGTTTTTCAGCGCATTGACGTCCCGGAAGCAAGAACAGGCAACGTCATTCCGCGTTGGCGCAAAACCAAATGCAAAGAATCTTGGCAAGTTTCTTTATTGATCTGTGCATTACATGTTTATGTTTATCAGCCGGTCTTGGACTCGCGTCATCTAGCTTCGGGGCTTTTTTGCGTGGGATTGTTTTGTTTTAAGCGCGCTCTTTTGCACGCGCACAAGTGTACGTGTATTAAATAGTGACGCAAGCATGGAACCACAAAACAAAACAAAGCATGACGTTTTTACTGAACCTTGTGCTAAAAACGAATTCCTGTTTCAGTCGAAAACAGGCAACTGTAAACATACAGGTTCAAGGGTAAGCGAATGAAATGAGATTAGTCATGTCTTGGAAATTACTGTTCTTCATATAGACATTTAAGACGAAATATCACCTTCAAAATAAATCATAATTTTGTATTAAATTTGATCCATCTCCTGCAAAACACAGTTCAATCAGGAAAAGTTAGCTGTCAAATGATAATCTGATAATTTGGAACTATATTTTTATCACTCGCAGACTGGGTAAAATCGAATTTAAATTGGGTGTGCGTTTCCTGTGCCACATATAGCCTTGATATTGGTTCTTTGTCCTCAACACGCTCATTAGGTAATGTTGTTCATTTCCAACTTCACCCTGATCACAAAGTTTACATTTTCTGTCACAGTAGGCAATTTTTTTATATCGGCCAATCTCTACTGGTAATCTGTGCGCTGAAACGCGTAATCTTGTAACTGCTTGACGGTACTTAAAATTTTTAATTTCTATATATGTGCTTTTAAAGCATATTAAACGAGGGTCCCTGATTCCGACTGTACCGGAATGTATGTTGCAACAGCCTCGGAAGGAAGAGAGTTGAAATCAATGAAATGTAACTGACCCTATTTGAACCTACTGGCAAATCATGCCAACCATAATATATCATGTGAAGAGGCTTTACCTGATAAAACTCATCTTCATTAGTATTCTTTATAAAGAAAAATCATCCTAATTAGTACATAGAGAATACTTATGAGACGGCATCTATTGTAGTCGTGTTTGAAGTTTGAAGCTATTCAAAACACTCGTAGAGTCGTAATCGTGTTTTATCATATCAAGGGCTAAAAGGCTCGTGCTGCGCACTCGCATTTTAAATATGATAAAACACTCCTAGCGTGTACATAATAGCTTGCGCTGGTAAAAATATCAAGCTGTAAAGAAAGGTTGCGCAAGATTTATCTACGATATGTTATTTTAAAAACACGGCCGTGTACAACCAGGTAGAACTGAATGATAAAAAAATGCAAAACATAACCGAAAGATGATATTTTTTATCCACATCAAAGGCGAGCAATCACTAAAACTGTCTGTACCAGTGTGGGTAGTACCAATGTGAAATTGCTGTGCAGAATGGTTTATGGTTATATATTACTACCTGAAAAAAACAAGCAGAAAGTCGACATTTCGATTTTTTCAGGTAGTAATATAACTCAGCACAGCAAGATCAATCACTAAGGCCTCAATCCGCGAGTTCGTCTATCAATCATTACTGAGTTATTTTATAATAAAATCGAAATTCTATCTTCGCTTCGCGTCATGTGTTTATATATCGGTATCATTTGCTTCAAATGTTTTTTATTTGGAGTTTTGTTTGTTTTATTTTTTCTCCGCGACTGAGATGATTATTGTACGACTGGCGCGCGGTGCAATCAAGTTGTCTAGACTTTGCCAGACTTGCAGATTATGTAAAAGTTATACTATGAAAATGCACGTCGAAATCTCATGCTGTGGTTGGCGTCATTCGACGGTATTCGGTCTATTCCTAGCCTTTCACTTACAACTAAATTTGCCGAGATATTGTTTAAATTGGGATTGGTGGTTATTTTTGGAGAATTTTGTCATGTTTGGTCTTTGTTGAGACTAATAGATTTCAAAATCAAGAATAAATTCTTATCATGATCAGTGTGTAATCTCTGAAGAAAGATTGTCTGCACTGTTGTGGCGGCGGTATTAACGCGGCAAGTTTTTCCCGCGACGCGCAATGATTTTCCGCAAATTGTCCAAAATACGTAACTTAAAAGAATTTTGAGATTATGCATAAAATGCGCCTCGCAATGCGCGCAACAGCATGTTATTGTAAAATACGTAATTGCGCACTGCGCAGACCATGCCAGCACATCTGCATTTATTTAGCCTGATAGGAAGCGACGAAAACCACAACTTAGGTTTAAACACTGACGCCCCAAGCGGTTAAAAGCAGTCTGCAAAATACGTCTTCCTTGCCATATTGTTTTATGAATATAAATCTTCTTCTAGTATTCTGTACAGGATGTGTCGATTACATGATTATTGCGCAAAGAAAATAACTAGTTAAATATTTGAAACGGGATAACTCTGTTTGTCACGAAGGCTCTGGCATATTTTATCGGAACATTGCACTTTGATGTGCTCACCCTCACACGCACCTCACGAAAGCAGAGTTGGAAAAACACAAATGCGCCACAATGCAGCTTAATCAGGAAGTTTGGGTAAACAATAAGTAACATAGCAACAGCAGACGAGATCGTTGACACGGCTTATAGAGAAATCCTCAAGTTTGCCGCTGGTACTACAGGCAAACTTTAGGCAAGTCTAGAATGCTTTATATTTCTAGTGTTATCTGTTGAGAACTTTTTACAACTCGGGAACTTTGCGGTAAGTAAAGGAAATCACAGCGACAACAATTCAGTATGGGAAATAGTTCACCAAAAAATCCTCATACTAATTTCTATAAATGCTTTGGATCGGACAACATGTTTCGGACTATGGTAATCATTGATACCATGTATTGCTAGAACTATCTTAAGTCTTTTAAATTCCAAATGCAATTCTAAGTATCATAATTGAATTATGCTACATATATTCCGTGTCGCTAAATGCTTTAATTGCTTGACGAAAGGTCATGAAATTTCACATCTTTCTCAATGTGTTTCTCATTAACACATCTTGTTGGTTTACCTAATTGTGACATTTGGTTTGGGCTGCTTCCTCTTTCATCTCATTGGTTCGTTTTCTTTTACGTATGTAGGTGCATCACAGCAGGACGCTTTTGCTCTTATACACCGCTTCAAACCAGAGGCTTCAAACTGCCCGCAGTGTTTAGTAGCGTGCGTATGTTGGATAGCAGAAGATCGTGAGCTTGAAACGAGAAATTTGGAACGAACGCGATTAAACACCGTACTCAAAGTAACCTTGACGCAGACTAAACGATTCACGGAATTTAAAGTAAGTTATCACTGTGTAATTTATTTGTTTGTGATATTAAGATATCAAGCATAATTTGCGTGTAAGTGAAGCGATCATTATATCAGCCGCATATTTCTGAAACAAAGAGCAAATATTATCACTAGATTTTAAGACCTTAACATCGACAATTTAATTTTATTTTCCGCAAGTTTACTTTGAATAAAACAAGCACGTTTTTGACAAACTTATCCACTTGTGTGTGGAGTGGCGCGGATTAGTTGTAATCTGTGTTCTAATTGACGATTATTGATACATCGTTTATATAACTCGTGTTATGTGTAGTATGGGAGTTCCGCCTGGGAAATTATGCCGCGAGCAGCATGTATAATCCAAGCGTGAATCGCAGCGCGTCGCAGATGTGTTGAAAAAAAGAGTTAATTTTTGTCAAATTGTTCGCCCACGAATCATATTTATTTTTAGTCGAATAGTGTGACGCGTCATGTGATTTCATTAAGGCATTTCTCCATATAATTTATGAGATGATTGAGAAACAAAATCCACAGTCCCCCTGCTGATCTATACCTATGATCTATACGTGTGCAGTATAGATTGCGATGATGATATGTTAGTCCTTGCCCTAGGAAACTGGAGTTTAAAATTTTACTATTTACTATAGCGAACTAAACTCGTCTCTCAATTCTATGTACAGCCTGTAACCATACGTAGAAAATATATTTATCTTCCTGACAGGAAAATCTAAAAATACAAATTTCCTGTGTAATATAAAACATTTATTGAACGTTCTCTGACTTAATATTTATTTCTACAAGCTTTCGGCTATCAGTCTATGGCCTTCGACGGGTGTATACAAATGATTCTATAAAGGACGCTAAACTTAAGTGGGTGGTATGAAATCTGATACTATCTATGCTATATTACAACGGATGGCTACGCATCCTCTATTTTTTTCAATAAAACTTCATGTTAGGTATATTTGGACATAATTGTGCCGCACAGCATTATAAACTTCAATCGACGGCACAAGACAATCTGGACTTGTAAAACGCTTTAGGAATTTTTAGACAATAAGTAAATTATATAAGATAACAAGAATTTCCTGCAAGTTGTAAGAAAATCCCTGCGAAGATCTTTTGCGGTTAAACTAATTTCTTGGCAGCTGCTGGCGCTGCCAGACATTTTCCAGAACTGTTTAAAAACTTTTATTCTCGTCAATTTGTAGTGTTCAAGCAGTTCCCATATTTTACGTCGCTTTCGGTTCGTAACTGTTCCATCAATATTTGCATAATTTGCGTCTTAGGTTGGGTCAATCCAATACTATTATACTAGTGTGTAATGTACTTAGGTGAATATGATGCTTGTGATGTTACTCTGAGTGTATATCCACACCGGGCAAGCTTGAAAAATATACTCTTTGATAATCAATTACTGTCATTACTCATTAGGAGAAAAAAAATTTAACATCTATTCCCATTGTTCTCTGACAATAAAAGAAGCTTAGGAAATGTATTGGAAATGTATATTGTGCCAAAATGGCAATATTCCCAAATCACACACCCACACTTCACTTGAACAAGACAGGGGGTACAGCGGGAGAAAACCCCTCAAGACCTGCAGTGTTTAGAACTGATCCACGTGTCGCACTGGTTAGCATATTGAGAGTGTAGTAAATTAAGATTACTTAAATCATAGTTTAAATCAACAGTATGTTATTTTTGAATATTCTCTGTTGGTCTCGTCTCCTGCTGCGTTTATATACGTCAAACGATAATGTAGACAACGCGTGAAATGTTTTTATTCAATATTGTTTCCGGGTGATAATTACTTGATTCAATCCATGAACATTGACATAAATTATGACTCAGTATTTTATACTATACTTGATACAACACCCCATCCAACTTTTTCATTCTAATTGTTAATTAGAACAAAGGAAACGCATCTAATATCAAACGCTTTAAGTTTTGAGTTCATTTTTCTTTCATTCAGTTGGCCTCCCAAAGTTGGAAAGTGCATGTTTCCGTTTCAAGCAAAATGTTGTAACCAGAAATCCTGTTTTTATGCGCGTTTGAACTGTAATATTCCACCTTCCCGTTCTTATGGACTAATCTATTTGACGCATTTTACACAAATCAATGCTTTCGTATTTAGCCCAAAAATCCACTAACGTGTTCACTTTCATTTAAAGTGTTTTGATAAAACATGAAAACAATGGTCACTCTGCAAAGATAGAAAATGTTCTGGCTCAGAATGGCTAGACCGGTCGAATCAGAATTTCTGGAAAGCAATTTTAGTTGTAATTGTCTTGAATGGATTTTATTCATTTTTATGTTGCCACTCAGCTTTCATTCAATATTCAATTCATTCAATATTCAATTCATTCGTAATGATTGTAAAGATTGAGTCACGATTTTTCTCTGCAGCCGAACAGGCGGAGTGATTATAAATAAAAAATATACTTATGATTTATATGTGGTTTAAAAAAAAACTATTATAATCTGCCCGTTGAGAAAGACTGTGACTCTATGTTGTCTGTTCAAGTGAGGCCAAAAGCTACTGTTAAAAGTAAAGTAAAGTCTAACTTAGGCGGCAAATTTTAATATAAAACTTTAAAAATATAAAAAGTTTAAACTTTTAAACTTTTTCTAGTAGCTTTTGGCCTCACTTGAACCGACAACATTCATATAATGCTACTGAAGGACAACTTTGTACGTGCTGTGACTCAATCTTTACGACAGTTAAGACCATATGTGATATGGAAAAGCTGGAGAAGTATTTAGTATACAGGGTGTATAAAAAAAAGCGCAATCCTCGACTGAAATGTAAATTGCTAAACAAATAATAGACGAAAACGTTAAAGTTTACATTCATTTTAAAGCGTAGCCATTCAGCTTTCTAACAGTGGGTTGTTTCTTAAATTTGACTCATTGGTTCGCGCGTAATAATACTTTACGTTATTGCGGTTGGAGATTAAAAAAATTGAGATATGGAATAACAAATCATTCTCATGAAAATAACTGATTTTTTCATTAAAACAAAAAAATGTTGCATTTTATTAAATGGATTGTAACAATAAGTATAATTACGGCTTTTCTTCCACTATTTTTTAACTCAGTTTGAAACTTCAAATGCGATATAATTTTGGCTTGGACCATCTAAGCTGACTGACATCAACTTGCTATAATTTCTGTTTACATTACATCGCAATTCGATGACACTCTGGCTCAGACACCAGAATGTTTTGACGATTTTTAGCATTCGTTCAGGATTTTCAAACAACCTGGTCTCTTTTCAAATACTTTTAATTTGTTCTTACGTGGTTTTCCAGATGTAGTGACGACAACATTAAAGTTTAAAGAAGAAAATTCTAACATTTAAACCGACTAAATAATAACATAGTAAACTTGCATAATTAAACAGCAACTAAAAATGATAGGTTTTACTAAATCTTTTCCTGTGCAATTATTACTTTCACTGGAGACAAGGATAATAGTTTGTTTGAAAGAGAAAAGAACAGGCTTTGAAGTAAGCCTAAAAGCATTTAACTAGAAATAGTATTTCGAAAGTTATTAAGCACAAAAGATGAATTGCGTTTATTTTGATACACCCTGTATACGTATTTTAGCGCAGGAACATTATTAATGACGGTAACGTATACAGTTGCACGGTATTTAGAATATGACGTAAACCAATAGCATTCAAGTATTTAGTCTATTTACCATTCGGTAAACTTTTTTTCCCGACTGAGTTACGCACATCTTACTGACACACTTGTGATAAACAGGTCACGTCTGTAATGCACGTATACATTGTTGTGTTTGTTTGTCCAAGAGCATGTATACTACCTAATCGTGTATGACCTAAGATTCGTGTTTACCCTGACATGAGTTCTGTACAACATTTGTAGATCACTTTAAGGTAGCCGACATATTGAAGAACATGTACTACTTCTATACATGTTTTAACCACGCTCAACTCAGTGGTGAGTTCTGTACAACATCAGATCACTTTAAAATCAAAGATTCAACAACATTTACTACGTCTGCATTGTCTAAACACATGCTTAACCATAAAACATCACTATAAAAGAGCCCACGCAATTGTCTCGTTTTTAATACAACCTTGGCATTCATTGACCTTTAATGGACATCTACCCCATGATGGGATATTTCATTTGATATTATAAACAAGGTATAAAACTATAAATAGCTGTAATATTTATCTTAGAGCATTTACAATTATCTAGTATGACAAAGGATGTTTTCAATTATTGCTCGAGAATTAAGATCTAGGCTACTGTAGTCACGGAGACCATCGTAACTGACGTTTTAATAGGGTTGGGTGCGACGGTTGGGTTTGGTTAGAAACTTCTTCACCGCATTAGTGCCAAGTTGTCTGACGTAAAATATGCACGTGCCTTGTGCGAGACTACATGCTAGCTTGCCTTATCCTAAGTTAGGTTAGGGAACCCACCCTGATATTTAAAAACTGTACTGGAGTAAGTCGCACGCGAGTAAGCAAGTGAATGTTATGCAGTTTTCATAATGATATCATTAAATTACACTAATGATTCCAACTAATCCCTTTTTACAACAACCAATTTCTTCACCGTTTTTATTGGAATATTTTAAATATTTTCGATCGCTCAAATGGAAGACAATATATTTTGTTTTCTGAGAAATTCTGGACCTTTGCGCTGGAGATTTGAAAAAAAAGGGATTCTGTGTGTTTTGTTAGGTCGAGATTAAGTCTAGTATGCGAAGTTTTTCACCGATTATTTATTTTTTTAACGTCATTAAATGCTAACGATCGAAATTTAATTGTTTTACTGTTTTGACTGAAATATTTTAAGTATTTTACTAATACTAAACGTCTGACCAAGTTTGAACGGAACAATGTAGTTGCTAGCACCAAGTTAATCTTTTTAAAATGATGATGATGATAACTTGTTGTAAACTGGTTCTAACATGCATCTGCGGACCAACTGCAGTGCAAACGAATCTGCAATATGTATAGTAAACCAAAGCTAGCTTGTTCATTGTTGAGGATCGCAATTTATTCAAAAAAAATCTTATATAGTGCGTTTTGGATGTGCCGCTGTGCATGCATTATAATTTAAATTTCATTTCTAAGCGCAAAGCTGCGTAAAAAAACGAGGAAACTTTTTGTTTAAGCACGTCATTGAAAAGGAAGTTGCTGTTTTGACATTTTTTTAATCCTTACACTCTTGTAGAACCATTCGTTTTTTTCTGCCTTCAAATTTAAAGACCTTTTTTAATTTTTATGAATTGAAGTGATTGAAGCACACGTCTTTTGTACTTTAGCATTATCTGAAGCTTTAATTAAAAGGTTCCACTGGTGGGGTCTTCAATATTAAAGTACTCGTCACTTGTGGTACTTTCTTGCTAGCGTATAAAAGGTCCGGTTCTCCTATAAACTTTGAATCGTTGGTTATTAACGTAGATACACATCCTTTGTGGTAGATTCTCGATAACCTGCATTTCGGATTCTTGGGATCAGGGTGAGTAATGGTCTTGAAATACACGTCCTTTGTGAATTGTGGTTTAGATTTTTTACTAGTCTAGTCTTGAAATATACAAGTCCTTTGTGGTAGATTTTTTACTAGCCTTGTCTCGAAATACACGTCCTTTGTGGTAAAGTTTTTACTAGCCTTGTCTTGAAATACACGTCCTTAATTTGTGGTAGATTTTTTACTAGTCTTGTCTTGAAATACACGTCCTTAATTTGTGGTAAAGTTTTTACTAGTCTTGTCTTGAAATACACGTCCTTAATTTGTGGTAGATTTTTTACTAGCCTTGTCTTGAAATACACGTCCTTTTAATTGTAGATACTATATCCTAAACTTCAAACTGTTGCCACTGTTCGTTCTCAGTGTATAGGTGTAGTGGTCTTCAGTGAAATACCCGGTTTTTGTGCGCGTAGATTCTCACTATAGTCTAAAGTTCAAACTGCTGGTTCTGAGTGTATAGGTGGTGGTTTTGAAATACATGTCCTTTGTGGCAGATTCTCACTAGTTTAAACTTCAAACTGCTGGTTCTGAGTGTAGGTAGTGGTTTTGAAATACATGTCCTTTGTGGTAGATTCTCGCTAGCCCGGCTAAACTTCAATCTTTTGGTTCTCATTTAGTGTAGATAGTGATTAGTGGTCTTCAGAAATACCGACGTATTTTACTCTTTTGTGATAGATTAGTAACTATACTCCACAGGTAGTATAGTCTTGGAAAATTCACGTGATACATTCTAACTATAGCTTCATTCATATATTGGTAGCCAAGTATTACTTCGATGTATAATCCTCTAATTCTTGATCTAGTCTTCCTGTAAATTTGATTATGTTTTGTATTATTCTATGTAGCAGTATTAGTAGCTCTGTTTGAATAAAGTTTGTTTGTTTACATATATGGTGTGACTCTCAGGGTAGGCAGTGGTCTTGAGAAATACTCGTGATCGATTCTAACTATAAATAATCTCATGTGTTAATTGTCAGCATAGCGAGGGGTCTGAATTTTTAAACTAGTCTTTTGTGCTCAATTCTGACTATAACCTAAACAGTACATTGCGGATGACTTTGAACGCAGGCAGGGGTCTTCAAGTCATTTGTCATGGACTGCAGCTGAGCCTGATAGTCAAGAAGAAATTTATCATCACGAAGTACAAAAACTGTTTTGAAAAACGAAATGTTTGCTGGCTGAGTGTTCGAGACTGTTCGGATTCCATTCAAACGGACCGATATCAATATTAGCCCACAACAGGATGCATCAATATTGAAATATTCGGCTGCCTAGTTTTCAAATCGTTTGGATCAAATCGTAAGATTTCTATAAATTTGTGAAAGAAACAGAACATTGCTGAAAATTGTTGGTGCTTGGGCAACATTCTTCTGGATTAACAGGCCTTCAAATGATATATAGCACTCATTTCCTATCCCTTCGTGAAAGCCAGTGGTTCTTGGTTGACCCCCCCTCCCCCTATCCCCCATCCCCCATCTAAAATTGGGCAAATTTAGAGGGAAAATTCGGGAAAGATGAAAGAAAAACCGGTAAATGTATTAAAGATGTTAAGTTAGAAATATCTTAGGGCAAGAAAATTTTTTACCCCCCCCCCCTCCCCTTCCCTTGGGGACATTTTATGGAAGTTAGGCCCCTCAAAACAAATAACAAGTGTTCCGCCGCAACTGTTTTACAGGTTGTTGTGTTTCCCGCAAAGACCACAAGTTTTGCGATACAATTTCACGCGATGCCTACGCATCTCATATAATGAATACATCAGGTGACAAGTGTTCTGTAATGAAACATGTTATATATGCATAGATTTAATGACATTCCAGTCCAGTCAATCTGTTGTCCTTAGACAACTGTGATATAGCCAAACGAGTTAGACTGATGAAATCTTTAAAGAAGTGAGATTTTAATGCGAAAGTTTCTATTTCCTACTCCATGGGAAGTGTATGTCAAAAGTGTCACAATTGAACGACTGAGTAGTTCTGACTAAGAGATCTTTGGTCCTGCTGTTAAAGTGACGTGTTGAAGTCAAGACGATTATTTTGAATTGTGAAGTGAGCATTAGAAGAGTTCCTTAGTTCCTACACCTCAATGTTTCAGTTTGTTTGAAAGCTGGGGTATGTCATCATCCCACAGATTGTCCGAAATTTTGCAGATGCATTCTGAAGAGAGCAATACATCGAGGTTGTATCCACTGTGTTTTAACATTTTATGAATTAATGAGATAGTATCAGTTGTATGTTTATATGGTACAACTATAAGTACTTTTGTACAATATCCTTGTACGGCTTTTACCATTAACATTGTTTTAATCTTATAGTTTTTGTAAGTGTAGTTTATATGCATATTGTGTGTGGAAAGTGTGCGTAGAATTAGTTTAGATACAGTTTGTCGTGTGTGTGTCTTTCTGAGCCAAAGAGGAAAAATTGGTTCCGTTACATAATTGCATGCAGGATTGCATACGCATGATTGGTGCAGTTAATCTGAGTTGTGTCTTGGTAAGCGACTTCATTGTAGAGCAGTTAAACAAAATAAATTTGTTGTTTGTATCAGATGAAATGATTCACTAATGTTAGATTTTACGTCAGCCGCATCACGAGACCTCTCAGCTGATGTAAGGAGTACGCGCGAGACTGCTTCCTCGGCAACATTTTCTCTCGTGTGCCGGTGTGTGTTGAGAATTTTACTTCGCCGTGAGAAGTTCTAGCGTGTTTGATATCATTCGAATATCATATAGAAACTTGCTAAGACCAAACAAAAACAAATATTGGTTTCCGACGGCCGACCTATTAAAATATCCGACCATAAACATTGATTACCATTTTCTTATTAAAATATGATTTCTGTTTAACTTAATCATTTTTAGTCATGATAATGATAGTTTAAACTTGAATCTTTGTGTTGATGTACGCATTTGTCCATAGGTTTGTACAATTTTCCGACATACTTATGCCAAAAAAAACATAGCTGTAAACCTGACACCAACTTTTTGGCTTAAGCTACGGGAATACGCGGGGCTGTAGTAGGGGTTTGTCTATATGTGAAAAAATTAAGAAAAATATAAGGATCGATGGCTAATTAGATTACTCCTTATGTGAACACTATACTGGAGTATTGAGACGTTGGATCGTGAATTTAATTTATTTGAGTATTGCATTCATTAACTTAAACAGGTCTGTCATTGTGTCTTCTCGTCCGTGATCTAGTTACAAGCGTTGTCACTTGCTAGTGTTTTACTATAATTTCGATCTAACGGTTTTGCTCCACGATTGTGATAACAGGTTAAAATCATGCGCTGTAGTAGTCGTAGTACATTGCTTTAAATTTATAAATCACGTCATTCTTAAAATCATCTTTTAAACGAAGTTTCTTCATTTCAGGTCGAAAAAAATGCGTTGTACATTGGATTGGAAGAGTCGTTTCCCCATCGCAAAGTGGTTACCAAACTATACATGGCATTCACTACAATGCGATTTGATCGCAGGCATCACCGTCGGTCTCATGGTCATTCCACAAGGCTTAGCTTACGGTGTCCTGGCTGGGCTACCACCTCAGTACGGCCTGTATAACGCATTTATGGGGAGTTTCATTTACTGTATCCTCGGTTCCAGCAAAGACATCACGCTTGGCCCTACTGCAATCATGTCACTAATGGTCGCAACTTACGGACGAGAAAATGACGCTCATTACGCGGTGGCACTATCGTTCTTTAGCGGACTAATACAACTGCTCATGGGACTGTTTTCGCTTGGTTTTATAGTCAGGTTCATTCCGATTCCAGTAATCAGTGGGTTCACTTCATCTGCTGCGATCATCATAGGGTGTGGTCAGATCCCAGGTATCCTGGGCATGTCAGGTATGCCCAAGAACCTCGTCCCACGGTTACACAAGACTTTCAGTAACATTATCAAAACCAACCACTGGGATGTGATCCTTGGCATTGCCTGTGTTTTGCTGCTAGAAGCTTTAAGACGAGTCAACCGCATGCCTGTGCTCTACAAACGCGATTCGTCGCAAAGCAAGCGAATTATGAAAAAGATTGTATGGTTTGTGTCTGTGGGACGAAATGCTGTCATCGTCTTCTTCACGACATTTTTGGCGCTGACGATGGAAACACACGGCGATGGTGGACATTTTTCGCTTACTGGAAGCATTAAGAAAGGTCTACCTACTTTTGAGGTGTGTATGCCGTGCAACGCTGTTTTATATAGTGTAGCTCTACTTTTACAAGTTCTATCGATTGTTTCAGTCATGGTTGAAGTCAGAAATGTTGACACTTGAATTCTATTTGTTTGTCTCCGAGATGATCAATATTTTCTCACTCTGAGAACTGCAAACCAACCGACCAATATCTGTTGCACACGATAGTGCTTAGTTGAACCTGTTTCCACTGTCTTCTCATTGGGGAGTTTAAGATCTTGACGAACTACCGACTACGTTTGAAATAGTTTTTGTTATATGTATGTAAATACTAAATGCTTGTCATAACAAATTTATCCCAAATATGTTTTATGTGCATAGCTTGTGTTCGATAAGTTTCATCTTTAATTTTCATAATTTCTTTATAAAAATACAATCCAACCTGCAACGTTGCGTAGTCAGTTTCGGTGCCATGTACTTGATTCTGTTTTACAACACAAGAATGTGATTTTTACGTTGTAGCCAAGGTCGCTACGGTGAAAATTATGCTCTGGGGATATGTAAATTTTGTCTGCTTTGTTAAATCAATGCGAAAACAAGCGTTCAACCGTACTCCGTACCCGTTGTTCGTTGTCGGCATCTTAAACTCCCTATTTAACTTCGTTGGCAACGACGCATGCGTACAAGCACGCTTGCACTTGAATACTGACTCTCTGTGTTAATATATATAATGATTCATTATCCCTACTTATCTCGCCAAGAGTCAAGTTCTGTTTTTTCTGTTTATCGTCAAGGGTTTTGTTTGAATTTTGTTAACAATATTTACATGACAATGGCGACCACTTCACGATTGATTCCATCACGGTTGACAGTTTGTCAATCAATTTGGCTTGCCGAGGAAACATACACAACCACCATGTCACAGAAACGGAAGCCATTTTAATATTGTGCGTTTTCTTTAATGAGCTGTCAGTTTGAGTTACCTTGATAGATATCCCAAACGTGGGGGCGATCAGTCTAGTGGCTTGTATCTCAACTACCTAAAAAGATATCTCAGACGTAGGGGTTAAGTATAGGTAGTATTCTACAATAAGCTGCCGTGGTTTGTGTCTGAACTACCTAAAAAAAGATATCTCAAACGTAGTGGTCTAGTGCAGGTAGTATTCTACAATAAGTTGTCGTGGTTTGTGTCTGGACTACCTGAAAAAAGATATCTCAAACATGGTGGTCCAGTGTAGGTAGTATTCTACAATAAGTTGCCATGGTTTGTGTCTGAACTACGTGAAAAAATCTCAAACGTGGTGGTCCAGTGTAGGAAAAAAAATATCCCAAAGTGGGGGGTAGAGAGTATTTTAGAATGAGCTAGAACTAAACCTAAAGTTTATGTAAATGATCAGGATTTTGTGTTATTCTCACGAAAAAGTAGATTTCGATTCACACATCTTACACATACTGAAAAATAATTTTTATATAAAACAATTTACATTCTCTCTAAAATAATTCATTCTCTTTGATTCCCAGGTGCCGAAACTCTCATCTCACGACGGGAACAGTACTATCACAACGATGCAAATTCTAACTCAAATTGAAGGAGGCCTCATTGTCCTGCCAATGATCGGCTTCCTGGAGAGCATCGCTATTGCCAAAGCGTTTGCAAGAAAGAATAAATATAAGGTCGACCCTAGCCAAGAATTGATTGCTCTTGGTTTGGCGAACTTTATTGGTGCATTCTGTTCAGCATACCCTGTGACTGGAAGTTTCTCTAGGACAGCTGTGAACTCCATCAGTGGTGTTGCTACTCCTCTTGGAGGTTAGTATTTCTTTAGTAAAGGCTAGATTATAATCTCACTGCTTCAGTCCCATCTGAGAAGAATGCTTCCAGTTTGACTCTATCAAATACCTGACAGGTTTTTTCCGAGTATTCCTGTACTAACACTGGATCAATGAGAGATGATCCTTACTGGACCTCTAGCTATCCAGTATAAATAAAGTTAATTGAGTTCCTCCTGTAGTAACACTGGATGAATTAGGGATCGCTCTCACTGGCCCTCAAGGGAAAACAGTTTGAGAATTCACAGAGTATAAATAAAGTTAGTTTAGTTTAGGTTTCCTCCTGTAGTAACTCTGGATCAACAAGAGATGACTCTTACTGGACCTCTAGGGAGAACAGTTTGATAATTGATAGAGCTATCCAGTGTAAACAAGTTAGTATAGTCTTCAGTAAAAGGATTTGGAACTGATTTATTTTCTTTCTAACTAAGGTGTTTTCACGGGAGGTCTCGTGATACTGGCCCTGGGTGTTCTGACACCGTTTTTCCAGTACATTCCTCAAGCTGCCCTTGGTGCTGTGATCCTATCCTCTGTCATCCACATGGTAGACTACAAGCTTGTCAAGAAAATTTGGCAAACGAAGAAAACAGATTTGCTTCCGTTTTTCGTCACTTTCTGCTTGTGTCTGTACGATATTGCGACTGGCATTATGTGCGGTATCCTTGCAGCTCTGCTGTTGCTGATTTATCGTCTGGTGGTGCCGCGTATCGATGCAAGACAACAAGAAGTGACGGTGATTAAAATCAATGGTGGACTTACTTATGTTGGTATTGAATATCTTATCTCCAAAATTGAAGAGGTGAGATTATATGTTGTATATTTGTTAAGTATGTTGCCTGTACAATCGTTGGTGGGTGTAGCTTTGAGTCTCAAATGCATGTGAGAAGAGTGTGTTGACTCTATCAAACACGGCAGGTATTCTCTTGGTGCTCCGGTTTCCTCCTGTAGTAACACTGGATCAATAAGAGATGATCCTTACTGGACCTCTAGGGAAAACAGTTTAGAACTGATAGAGCTATCCAGTGTAAATAAAGTTAGTTTAGCTTAGGTTTCCTCCTGTAGTAACACTGGATCAATAAGAGATGATCCTTACTGGACCTCTAGGGAGAACAGTTTAGAACTGATAGAGCTATCCAGTGTAAATAAAGTTAGTTTAGTTTAGGTTTCCTCCTGTAGTAACAGTGGATCAATAAGAGATGATCCTAACTGTACCTCTAGGGAGAACAGTTTAGAACTGATAGAGCTATTCAGTATAAATAAAGTTAGTTTAGTTGCTCAATGTGTATCACTCTTGCAGGTATCAATTCTTTGCGATGTGCTACCGGAGGTAGTAATCATTGACTGTTCAAACATGTCTGAAATTGACTACACAGTCTCGCAAGGATTCCTTCAGATCGTCACTGATCTGCAAGACAATGACATCAAAGTGTACTTTTCCCACGTGCAACATCACGTGAAGAGCATGCTGCTTGATGCTGGAGTTGAACCGTTGTTGTTTAGTGATGACTATCTGGATGAGCATCCCAACCTCTTCAAATCGTGCGAAGCGGAGTCTGTCTCCATCGAGTCGCCATGCTGTGATCATGAACAGCGCTTTTGGATGACGTCTGTGTAATAGGTAGGAGGTACGCACCCCCCTGGCAGATTGATATAAGAGGTTTTACTAAGCACAAACATGAAGCAGGGTGTTCAAACTGTAGTTATCAAAGTATAATCCTTAATCTTTTTATTATATATAGAAGTCTTTTATCATTAGGAAAATAGATGAGAAATGAAAAAATTAGATTAATTTCCTTGCCGTTATCAACATTTTCGACCACAATATCTGCTATCTTGTGCTTCCCGAAACCCTATACCTAACCATGCCAGGGGGGATGTACCACCATTTTTATCGAATTCCACCAGGATAAAGATATATCATTGATTATTGTAATTAAATTATACGTACTATTTACAAATGATGATCCTGACTTGAGTGTTGGTAAAAATATACAGTCGGTATTAAATAAGTGTACTAATCCTGTTCATGTTGTAGCTAATGAAGTACAGACGTCATAATGGGGGAAGAAATATTGCCAATTAGCCATTCCGAAGTTGATGAGAGGACTGGGGACGAGTGTTAAAAAGTGCCCAAATTAAGAAATGAACCAAATCACTAAAAAGACCACCTCAGAATTAGTAAGTATACAAAGTTTGAAGACGTTTACATGAATACCCTTCGAATAATAAGCTTTTGAAAAATGTGAAATTACTGATTAAAAGATTGTTTTGGGGACGCGCGTCCCCAAAACAAGAAATTACAATACATTTCATACGGTAAACATCATGATTTTCGAAAGCTTATTATTCGAAGGATATTCATGTAAACGTCTTCAAACTTTGTATACTTACTAATTTTGAGGTGGTCTTTTTAGTGATTTGGTCCATTTCTTAATTTGGGCACTTTTTAACACTCGTCCCCAGTCCACTCATCAACTCGGAAAGGCTAATCGCGACTTTGGTCTAGAAACTCCACAAAGCCCTTATGTCGAGATGCGATTTTTATGATGAAATGACTTCACAGTGTACAAATATTTCGAAATTTTGCGTATTAATATTTCGACAGGATGTTTGAGTTTTTTGACACGATGATGGCTTCATCATGCCACAAAATTCACAGTCTTCAGCATACACGAAAATGCGTAAGCATGAACAAACAGATTGAACAAAGACTTCGGCCAAGTTTCCAGACCATATTTTCAATGATTATGAATCTACTTAATAATGGCATTCATCTTCAATCAGTGTTTGACTTTTCGACCCAGTGCCTGTTTCAATACATCAAAATCATGCCGCCTTCTGGCCTGGCAAGAGTGACCAGGTAGTAAGGCCGATTTCCACACACAACTTTTGCCTAAAACTGTCGCATGCAACCTGCTTACAACTTGAGTTGTACTGTGTAAATCAAGCACACAACTCAACTACGACAACGTAAGCCGAGTTGTGTGTTTGATTTACACAGTACAACTCAAGTTGTAAGCAGGTTGCATGCAACAGCATTAGGCAAAAGTTGTGTAGTGTAAATCACCCCTAACACTCCCTTGATGACGTCATGCCTTCACACTCCCTTGATGACGTCACCTTCATTAGCCACATCCGTTACACCACGCATTCGCAGACGCTATAACCATTTGTGACAATTTACAATAACTTGTGGCGAAAACATCGCTAATGCATAATAACAGTGAAGTACATCAAAACACTAATTCTTAAAATATTGGATTTTATAAATCTGTAAATTTATCAACTTTATAAGTAGTCGCAAAATTTGAGCTAGTTTTATAGTTTAAAAAATAAATTTAGTTAGGTTTTATTTGAACGAGACGGTAATCTTCGAAAAATCTTTGATATTTCAAAAGACAATTCCCATTATAGACTAATTTTTTATCACTTGGCAAAATAAAGTATACTCCCGAAAAGAGCATACTAAAATGAGTAAAATTGCAAAGTTTGGTTGTGAAATGTTGTAAAATGCGGAAAACACAGCCTTGCAAAGTTCACAAAGTTTGTATACTTTTGTATTGCGTGCAGAAATTGCTACCACGTTTGGGCCGAAAATGGTAGCAATTTATATCAATACAAGAAAACTGTCTCGTCCAATTTTGTGTTTGTTTTTTATTATATTTATTCCGATGATTATTGATTAATTTCAAATTAAGTTGATCTGAATAATTAAAGCTGAAGTTGTGATATAGCACTACAATTCTTTCGTGATTTTTGTGATTAAAAAATCAAACTGTATACTGTACTGATACTGTAAGTGCGGACAAGAGATGTCCCATCTTAAGACCAAACAGTCTATAGGTGAGTTTATAATTCACTAAGCACCATTGTGCAGCACGGATGGTGGTCAACCTGTAGTTATGAGAATGAGTTAATAGTTAATACTTCAATTAAATCTTTCCATTGTATGTCAAAAATATATATTGATTTAAAGATGTGTTTTAACTTGTCTGTTCCAATCTGTGAACATTTTTGAAGTTGGCCACATCTGCTGTCCCATTCTGCTTGTTGAGACCACCAATATGTTGTCCAGCTATTTTAGCTATTGGCAATCAAATTCAAAATCAAATTGTGTATAAATTAATTAAATAAATTGTAATTAGTAATATGTTATCTAAGTAATGAAAGTAATAGTAATAATTGAAGCATGGTAAAATTACACGTTACCAATACAAAAAATGTAACATTAATATATAACATAACATAATACAAAACGATACCATTGATGTAATACAAAACTTATAATGTGCATAGATTTGAATTGGATTTGTTTAGCACGTTTTCTTGAAAACTAAAGTACAAAACCCCAATTCAAGTCTATATTCAGGGCTGCAGATAAAATGGTAATTGAATGCTTGATACTTGGACGGACACTTTAGGTAAAGGAGGGCATTCTAGTGAAAAGGAAGATGAAACATTGTTTGAAATATAAGGCAAAGATTGTATTGCAAAGTTGTTAGATTGAAATTGAAAATGACTGAACAGCAAACAGTCTATTCATCACCGGTCAAGTCTCGTTCACTTTTCATTCATCTAAGCCCCAAATAATAATAATAATAATAATAATACAATTATCAACAAGTTATATAAGCAATTAATAACTAACTGATACTAAACATACTTTACGCATTCACAAAATATCATCAATTATTCTTAATCCTAATCCCACAGTATTAACATTTTTAACGTTGACAAGACTGACTTTTTACCATCTATTTAGTGTATAATAGGACATATGTAAAAAAATAGTTGTGTTTGAAAAAAGAACAATGTAGTTTAATTGTAGTAGTTATTTTAGTTTTTTAATATATATAGACAAAAATATATAGTTATGTAGCTTTAAATGTATAATAAATTAATAGTATTGTAGCATACTAGCTTTTGATACATGTAGGTGTATTGTGGCTTTTAGTTTTAGCAAACGAACATTTTGCTGCTGAAATTTACGTTTTGTTTGAAATGTTATGCGTATTATAGCTAATATATATTTGAAATGTATTTGAATGAATGTTAAATAAATTGACCTGGTGGGGCGTTTATAATTTGATATTTTTTAATTATTTTTAGTATGATATAACCTCCCAAACGAACTAGTTTTTAATTAAACAGGATTTGAAACTGAAATTTGACTTTATTTATGTGTGTTATTACTGGAGTGTCAAGACAAAAATACGGTGCTGAATTCCATAAAAGTTTGAAATGTAGAATATGTTTGAAGCCTAGCTTTACTTGACTCTGAAATCCGGGCAACGGGCAAGCGTAGTGTAATTTATATTGACTAGGACGGGCAAGGATTCATTTGCATACGCGGCTTCAGTGCTATGAAGCCATGTGAAAATGTGCTTTAAATTCCCCTCAGCCAAACCTATGTCCATTAATATGCGTTTTGAACCTTTCTAAGTCGATCTATGACGAAAATTTTTTTTCGATCAGCCCAAAATTTATTTGACTCCGAAATCCGGGCAACTGGCAGCGTAGTGTAATTTATATTGAAGGACGGGCAAGGATCATTTGCATACCGCGTCTTCAGTGCTATGATAGCCATGTGAAAATGTGCTTTAAAATTCCCCTGAGCCAAACCTATCTCCGTTAATATGCGTTTTGAACCTTGTCATAAAACATTTTTTCGATCAGCCGAAAATTTTCTAAGTGTCAAGCCTACTAATGTTTCGTTGCGTCAAAAAACGTTTGGAAAAAGCAGAACCGCGGAATGTTCAATCTCGTACTCTGGGAACGAGATTGCGGAAGCCTGGCGGAATGTTGAATAAATTCCGTAAATTTTTGCGTCATCGACGCAAAATGCAATGGTATTACTTCCGGTTGTAAGTACGCATGCGTGTTTCTGGCGGATCTGATATAAATTATTTGTTATGATGAAGTGACATGGCTGTTTTATAGTATTTTGGCGTTTTATTTTGACGGCAAACACAACTTTTTTCTGCTTCAAATTTTGCCAGCAGATAGTTTGGGAAATAAACTTTTTGGATACGTTTTTGTTTTGTCTGTAAGCTGTAAAATGGTGCAGGAATATCAATCGCCAGTTAGGGTTTATAAGTACCCGTTTGAACTTGTAATGGCGGTAAGTTATTCTAGAATCTATTCGACATTTTGCGTTTTAAAATACTATATCTTGTATCTATTATTGTGAAATTGATTGTATTTATTCTCTGATATGTACTATAATCCCGTATTGTGTACAATCTGCCAAAATGTGAAAAAAGCGTGACATTTTGAAGCATCCTTGAGCACTTGTTTATTTGGTGCATAAATGATAGTCTCGTCACGTTGGAAACTTGAATTAAAGTTTATTTTTATTCCTTTGCTCTTAGGCTTACCAGAAACGGTTCCCAACATGTAAGATGATACCAATTTTCCTGGGAAGTGAAATAATGTCGGAATACAAAAGCGAAGACGGTGCAGAACATGTGATAGAAAGACGATGCAAAATTAACGTCGAGGCACCGTATCTTTTGAAAAAGGTATTGATTGTATAATATTGCGGCTCATTGCCCTTGTCTAGACCTTTTATACCCTGTTGACTTAATGTTGACTGTGTATAACAATAAATGATAAACTTCCTTAATTCCATAGCTATTTCAACAAACCTATAGACTTTGTTTTCACAAGAATCGTACAATACAATATATCATAACTTGAATTTAATTTAATAGAATTTTCTGGACTAGAATTTTAAAATGCTCTTGATATTAATATTCTCGATATTATATTAGTTTTTCCGGTTCTTAAGCACGGTATTTCATTCTTTTTGACGGTATTTAAAGAGACAAATTTAACCCATATAGCTTGTTTGTTTTGTAAAATTGGTTTCCCCTGTTAATCCATGGTTTTTGTACAAACAGCTGTAGACAGCTTACTGTTCTATAGTACAGTAGCAATTTGTCAAAAGTTTGTAATCAAACATTAAAATTGCAATATCTTGGGAAACCTCATATCTGATTGCATTTTTACAGTAAATTCTAGAACTAATTACAGACTCTTGTAGTTTTGTAATAAAAAAATAATGCATTGCGTTCAAAAGCTGTGTGACCACTTGTTAATTATTAACTACTTTCGGTTTAATGCTGTTATTAATTTCGTTGTCATGTACCGTTGGAAATGTGTTTTTCATCAGTTTCAATTTAACTTGTATACGAAGAGTAATTTTCTGCATACAAAAATAGTTCTAGAACTATTAAAATTTTTGCAAAGAAAAATACTTTATATGATTTGTGGTAATTTGTTTTTAATTAATATATGCTGCCCCACTTAACCTTTTCAAATTAAAATTTGTACAACAGCATGTGTTTGGCCAATGTCACATCCATAATGCTCGACACTTTTCCATTGACACGTAAAATAGACGTGTTGCATTTAAATTAAAGACACGGTAACATGACAAAGTAGGGTACATGTTAGAGTTTACTATATTTTATGCATCCTTCTTTGTTATTTTATAATGTCTATCATAATTTAGAAATTTTACCTGCCAAACAGAAAATGTTTGTATTTAACCCATTAAGTTGCATTGTGCCCCAATGCGCCCTACTTTCAGGGCTGCAAATTACTGTCGGACATCGGACAATGTCCAACTAAATTTGGCAAATGTCCGAGCAAAAGTAATTTTGATCGGACATTGGTCCGATCACAAAAAAATTGTCACATACATTCTTTTGCTGTGACAAAATCCGATATACATTCTTTTGCTGTGACAAAATCCGATTGCAAATTCACTTAATTTGCATTTTGCAATAAAATTCACAAGCATGGCTATACATACTTGTCTCGTGACTTATCCCCGAGCCGGCGGCGCGAAGCGCCGTGCGAGGGTACTAATTCCCCCCGGCTATTTACACCCGGGGAAACGAAAGCATTAGGGAAGTCTAAA